TGAGAATCGAACCGGCGACCCTGTTGCTCAGAGCTCACACTCTTAATCAACTGAGCCACTCGGCCGGCCCCCCAAAGACTATTTTAGTACCTCCCAACTGGCTACCTACCTCCAGCTTCTATTCTTCCCTCTGGTCCGTTCTCTAAATTGACACCAGTGTCTAATATCCAAAACACATTTCTCTTCTTAGGATCTTGTGACAGCCCAACTCCTTCATAAGCCCCTTCACATATGGCCCTTCCAGCCTCATCTCCTGCCTCTCCTTCCACACACCCCTAGCCTTCCAGCTCAAAAACCCATTTACACTGCAGTTTTTCTCCTCCTCCAAGGTCCCTCCCCCTTCTCAGACTGCCACTGGCACATCCTTCCAGACTCAGTCCAAATGTCCCCTCTTCTCTGCCCCCTCGGACTGAAGATCTCAGGCATGCCCCCTCAGTGTCCCACAGAGCTCAGTGCACACATCCCTCACAGCAGTCTCCACCCTGGATGGCAAACATCAATTGACAGGACTCTTCCCCACCACTGCCTGCAAGCTCCCAAAGGGCAAGTATGTGCTCCTTCGTTTTGGAACCCCCAGCCCCCAGCACAACAGGACAATCTCTACACATACATTTGTTGAATTAATACATGATTGAATGGAGGAAAAACCATTTGGTCTTGTGCTAGAGCTGATTGTCAAACTTGAGCTCTTCATTCAAAAAAATTCTTCTCTGGGAGATATAAATAAATAAAACAGAAAAAAAAGCATGGCTGCACCAGTTGAAGGAGGGTATTTTTGTAAGAACAAGGAAAGAGGCTAGAACACCCCATTCAGCACTCCATCCCACTGTGGAGGCTCCTGAGGGAGCCCCTCAAGACCCCACTCAGAAACTTAGGTGCAAGCTAAAAGGAAACTCCTCAGGTACCACACTAATGATAACAACAGCTTATATTTATTGATTATCTACTCTGTGCTAGGCACTACTAGACCTTTTACAAGCATATCTCATTTAATCCTCACAACTCCATACAAATGTACTATTATCTTTACCCTGAAGCTGAGAGAGTAACTGTCTCAGAAAACATATTAATCAGAATAGTCATGATGGAACTCATTTCTTAATGAATGGAATATTTTAAAATGAATTTTCAGCCAGTAGAAAGACCAGATGTGGAACACAAACAAACAAACATGTACTCTCAAAACTTCTTTGCTCACTTCAACAATTTTTACCTTCCTCTTCAGCAACCATAGCCTTCAATCCTTTCAGTTTTCTCACTCAACCTCATCAACCTAACATCCCCCCATTTTCACCCCATTCTCCTCTTCTAGTTGCACCCCTTCCTTGCCTAGCTTAGACCCTCTCTATCTACAGTCGGTCTAACCATACATGTCACTTCAATTAACTCTCTGACCAGTATCACGTTTCTCACTTTCTGCCCTGTTGCAACCAGCAGCTAATTCCTTTTCTGCCAATTCCTCCCAAAATGTTAAATGTTGCCAAGGAAAATCATACGACTGTGTATGACACCAAGACAGACTTCAAGTTTCCAATTTCAGCTGGGACTTCAACACTCAGCTGCAGCATCCAATGACCTCCTTACTGCCAACCCCTCTCTTCTCAGTCCTCATTCCCCACCCCTTCTGGCACCGTTCACCAATACCTCCTTCTCAAAACCCTTCATTTCAGAGGTTGCAAATTGGCAGCCTGGGGATCCTGCCACAGACTCGTTTTGTCTGGCTCTCCAAAGAGTTGGGCTTTTCCTTTTTGTTTGACTTAGCTGCCAATATGGAAAATTCAGTAGGGTTCTGGCTTTCTCTTGAAAAACTGGAAGATGTAACAATGTGGGCCCACTCCTTTACTAAATTCACCTTGCCTACCTGGACACCCCAAGGTTTTCAGCTTGCTGAACAAATCACCCCCATTGCCATGCCCTGCTTTATTCCCTTGGTTTCTGAAAGGCTTTTCCCCCAATTTTCATGCCCTCGCACCCCTCCGTCTTGGTATCAGTGGTTTGGGACTCTTCCTCCACTCACCTGTTAAATCCTGGTGTTTCCAAGGTTCCCTCCTTGGGGGTTTTTCCATTCCCACTGCGTACGACCTACACGCTGAAGTCTCCACTTTGTTTAAAAAGTTGGCAATCCTTTATCTGTCCCCCACAATATTTTAAACGTTTTTGGATCGAAAATCCAAAGGTCTGGAACCCCATGATTCCCACCTCTCTCGGGGCCTTCCCCGGCTCCTCCTGCATCTGTCACCCCATCCTCCAGGGAACCCTCACAGGGCCTGAACACCGGGCGGACTCTCCGTCCGGTCAGGGTTTCCTGGCTGGAGGCCTGCGAGCAGCCGCGGACCCGCACACGCCTCCCGGGCGGCGACGCCGGTGCCCCAACATGCTTCCCACCGATAAGGACGTCCGCACCCAGGGCCACCGGAGGGACAGGTGGACAACTTGACTGAAGCGGAGCCACTCACCTGGTCCGGGGCGGAGCCGCTCACCTGGGACGGGGCGGGGCCGCGGGCGGGCGGGGCGGGGCCGCACCTGAGCTGCTCCAACCCGCGGCCGACGCGGCCTCCCTCCGCGACTGGTGCTGACGCGGAGCCCGCGGCGGCCCGAACGCCCGGAGCCCCGCCCCCGCCCGCGGGCACTTCCGGGACCGCTCTAGGCTGCGTGGAGGTCCCGGCGTCTCGGTGGTCCTGCGGTGCAGTCGGCCGCCGCGTGTGGCTGCCGGGCTCAGGGGGTCAAAGACATGGATCAGGAGCGTTTTTCCAGTCGACGCAGTGGATTCGGGCTGTCCCCAAAGGGGACAAAGGGACTGAGGGGCAAACAGAGCTGGGCAGGCGTTGGCGAGAGTGCAGGGGAGGAAACTGAGGCCGGGACGGGTAGGCCGGCCTAGAGCCGCTGGCTGGATGCCCAGTTGCCGCTGCAATTGCTCTGGGGCGGGAACAAGCCAGGGGCCGATGGAGCGTCTGAGGTCTTCAGGAGAAGGAGAAGGGGATCCCAGAGCGGAGCCTGTCACCCCGCACAGGCCCACGGGTTCTTTTAGCATCCACACTCCCTTCCTGGTTCTGCCTGCCCTCTCCTCCCCAACAGGGACGGATGAGAGAAAGGGCCTATGAGGGGGCCCACGAGATGTCTGCGAATGTAGGCTGGACCCTCTCTGGACACTGGAGACCCCTCACTCAGTGCATTTGAGGGATGACCTCCAGGCATGAGACTCCTTTTAGGAGAATCGGGAGGGAAGAGGAGTGTGTTCTTGAAATCCCCACTCTACTCCCAGATGCTAAGCTCAGCTTTGCTTCTGATGCCAAGACTTGCCCCTCTCCCCAATGTTCCCTGCTGGGCCCACCTGCCTGTAGGAGAGCCTCCCTCGGGGGACCACAGCCCTCTCACAGACCAGTAGAAGACACTGAGGGGTGATGCTGCCCACTCTGCCCCTGCCATCTGCCCATCTGCCTTCAGCACCCTCCGTCCTGGCCCTAATATGCCTCTGAATGCCCCCACCACACACACACACACACACACACACACACACACACACGCAGTCACACCTGCCTCCCTGCTCCATCAAGGAATGGCCAGCTTCTGTCCCTCCTCTAGCTAGCAGCCTGGGCTCCATGGGCACCCTGTCATCACCAAGTGAGCATTGGACCACAACCAGCCATGCAGACCTGGGAGCGGCAAGGGCTGGCTCCTTTTTTATCTCCCTCCAGCTCCTTGGGTCACAGAAAAACCAGACCACCAGTCTGAGCTCCCTGGGAGCCAGTGGAGAGGCTGGGTCCCACCCCAAGGGTCTCAGGTGCTTCCTTTTCTGCACCAGTCCCCAGAATTCCTACTCCCCCACCCTCCCAGACCAACCAGAGTCACATTCTCAGCAGGGATCTCTTAGACCTCAGAATAGTTATCGTTGACATGGTGAATGTTATTAACTGATTTTACTAAAGGAGGAAAATCAAGGCTCAGAATGTTAGAGAGGGGACTAAGGTCAGGGACAGAAATGGGAGGCAGGTAGGAGACACTCAACCCACACCCCACCCCTAGGATGTGTAGCCCACAGAGCAGTAATAATCTGCGTCATCCTCAGGCTGCACAGGGCTGATGGTCAGGATACAGGCATTGTGGACTTCATCGTTGGCTGCCGAGAAGCGGTCAGGAATGTCTGGGGGCCGGTGGTGGTCCTCCTCTGAGCGGTAGTAGAAGAGATAGCGGGGGGCGCTGCCTGCTCGCTGCTGGTACCAAGACACACCGTATTTCCCAATGGTGGCATGGCGAGGGCTGAGCATGCAGGAGAGTTGAGCTACTTGGCCTGGGAAGACCAGCAGTGCATCTGGCTGGGTCAGGGCTGGCTGTGGGGCTGAGAGACAGACCCGCTCAGGCCTGGCCTGGGCCCCTGTCCTATGAAAGCTTGGTCAGTCTCCCCAGAAGACTTGTGTTCTAAAGGACTCATGGCCTGGTGCCATGGGGTTGGCACTGGGTGGGGCACAGAGTTGGCAATTCCTAGGTCCCTATTAGTGCCATGTTCCCAAGGATCTATGTTCAGTTGAGGGCCTAGAGTTCAGAGGGTGGGACTGGTGGCTTCTGGGTCCTTCTGTTGCCCATTCCCACCCTTGCCATGAAGACCCCTATCCCCTTGGTCACACTGGCTCTTCCAAACCCTCACCATAGACTAACCATAGCTTCCTGGTTAGTCTACACCACCCATCAGCTCAGCCTCAAGCAACTGGATGCTGGGGATCTTCTTGGGGTTAGGATGTTTCTGAGGCCGTATGAGATGGGGACCAGCCCACACCAGGTTCCCGTGTAAAAAACCAGCTCCAATCCCTTCTAAGACCCTAAAGAGTCAAAGTTCAAAGGGACCCTAGGTATGTGGTCATTCAGAAATAGAGAAACTGAGGCCCACAGAGAGGAGTGACTTGCCCCAGGTCTAGAGCAGAGCACCGGTAGCCAGTTCTCCTCTCCACCTCAATGCCCCTTCCAGAACCCTCCCACTGCTCACATCAATTTGCTTCCTTGCAGGGGCCTTCTGGAGCTAGTGCACTCTCCCACCCCACCCCTAGGCAAGCCAGGATCAGGGAGGGCTCACCTGCCAGGAGGGCCCCAGTCAGAAGGAGGGCCAGACGCCAGCAAGCCATGGCCAGAGGGAGGGAGGCCGCTGGGAGCTGTTCTGTTGGGCATGCTTCAGGTGCTTCAGGGTATAGGCAGAGGAGGTCACTGAACCACGACAGGACATGCAAATCAGCCCATTGACTGGGGGAGGGTTGGCAGTGGCTAGGACCCAACTGCCAGGCCCCATCTTCCCAAATGTGAGAGTCCTGGCCCCACAGGGCCTTCTGAGAATAGGAGCCAGAAATCCACATATATATTATAGCAGGGGGCTGCTTTTTTATAGAGGTATAACTCACAGATATTAAAGTACACAAATCTTAAGTATATGGCTCGATGCTTTTATATATAAAACATATACATGTATACACACACACACACACGCACACACACGCACATACACACACCACCTGCAATCTCTACCCAGATCAAGATTTAGAGCATTTCCGTCTCCCCAGAAGTCTCCCTCACCCCACTGCCCCTCTTTACCCTCAATGGTAACCATCATTCTGACTTCTATCACTTAGATCAGTTTTGCCTGCTCCAGAACTTCCAATATGAATGGAATGATAGTGAGTCCCCTTTTGTTCCTGCTTCTTTGGCTCAACATTATGGACGTCATCTTGAGTGTGCAGCAATGTTTAATTCATCTCAGAGCTGCGTGTCCTCCAGAATCTGGCTGCAGCCACTCCTGAGCTATGTTCTGCAACACTCAGGTCCCCAGATACAGTGACGTCCCTAGAAGAAAGTGCCCTGTGTTTAAATAAGTTTGGAAAATGCTGCCTGTTTCCACAGTACTGATTCTAAGCACTTGCCACTGCTGAACACGGATGTAGCACTTTAAAGTGTCATGGCATTTCATCCTCACAACCCTGCTAAGTTGTGTCATTACCCCCTTTTTACAGGTGGAAGCACTATCCAGAGGCAGAGTGTGTTGCTGGAGGCTGTGAGCTGGTGGAGGATCAAGGCCTCCTCCTGTCTGCTTCCCCGCCCCCCACAGGACAAACATCCTAATCATGGGGTGGGTAAGGGAACTGGGGATAGGGGACATTTCTAAAACCTTGGGGACAAGGGAGATGACAAAGGTTGGGGCCTGTTCTAGATACCCACCTGGTACCTTGGCTGGAGGGGTTTGCTGGGGGTTCATGGTGAAGAGGCAGGAGATAGAGTTGGAGAAAAAAACCAGAAAGGAGGTGGTAGGGGAGAAAGAAAGAGGCATGATGAAAAGAGATAGAAAATGAGAGGGAGAGAAAAAGTCAAAGAAAGCTGGAGCACAGATGAGAGGCAGAGAAGCAGGGTTAATGTGAGAACATAGAGATAGATAGAAAACCAGGGAGAGGCAGAGAGGAGAGAAAGGAGGGGGAGAGAGAAGGAGACAAATACGAGACAGGGAAAGATGGTGAGAGACAGGCAAACGAGAGGGAGAGCTGGTAAGAGAAAACAGCCATGAATCTAAGAGGCCTGGCCACAAACCAAACAAAGAAGAACAATGAAAAATGATGTGGCCATGCTGGAAAACATTGGCAGTTTCTTATAAAGTTAAACACACTGTCATCATATGACCCAGAAATTCCTCTCGTGGTATTTATCCTAGAGAAAGGAAAAGTTACAGTCACACAAAAACCTATATATGAATGTCTATACTGGCTTTATTCATAATCACCAAAAACTGGTAACAACCCAAAATGACAGTAGGTGAATGGATCAACAAACTGTGGTACACCCAGACCATGGGGCCCACCTCAGTGATAAAAAGGAACAAACTAGTGAAACATGGGACAAATTGGGTGAATCTCAAATGCATCATGCTGAGTGAAAGAAACCATATTCATACTGTATGATTCCCTTTATAGGACACTCTGGAAAGGGTAGTGGTTGCCAAGGGCCCGGGGTCGACTACAAAGGGGCATAAAGGGATTTTGGGAAGCGATGGAAATGTTCTGTATCCCAACTGTGGTGGTGGTTATGTGACATATGTGAAAACTCAAAAACACGAAAAGGGTGCATTTTCCTGTCTGTAAATTTTGCCTCAATAAACTTGATTTAAAAAGAAAAGAAACAAGCACAGAAGAGAGAGGAAGCTGGGAGTGAGGAAGAAGGCAGAGGGAGAGGAAAGAATGTGAGCACAGGGAAGGGAGCCTGGAGCTGGTGGGGAGCCTGTGAGGTTGGTGAGGATCCCAAGCTTTGGCCAGGGCAAGCCCCATCCCCAGGCACCTCCCCTACTTTCAGCTGGAAGCTCAGTCTGTAATGGTGGGAGGATGTGGTCTCTGGACATCCCTGGACCCCGAGGCTCCAGCCCTCACTATAGCCCTGCCTCGGGGAATGTCCATACTCCCTACCCAGATCCTGTTCCTGGGATACTGGGAGGAAGGCATTTCCTGCCTGGGCGTCTTAGCAGCTCCCACTGCCATGGAGACCAGTTTGGAAGCTGGAAGCTTCACCTGTCTCCTCTGGCTGCTCTGATCCAGCAAGCAAGAAGAAGAGGCCAAGGTGCTGGATGACTGTAAGAGCCCAGCCCCAAGGGTTGCTAAGCAGGGACCTCTGCCACCCACACACGCTATTACATCTCCAGGCAGGGCCCCAGCCCAGAAGAAATCTCAGCTCTAGCTCTTTCCTTCGTAGGGACGTCCGGGTATCTTCTCCCCTGCAACCATGTTTATCACAGTGCTGTTTGGAGGTAAGTGGGGTCCTTGTGCCCTAGAAGATGGGTTGAAGAAGGATACATTTAGCTTGCTTCCTTCTGGCATGGGAGGGGGGAAGGCAGTGTGGGTAAGGGGATGCACATGGGGTGGGGGGTTTGGGGAAGCAGCTCTGTGAGGAGGCAGAGCCAGTGCCCAGAGTGAGTCCCTAGAGGGGAAAGCCCAGCTGGGTACTGGGAAATTCACACGAGCTCCTCTCTGAGTACCTGCCACGCCACCAAGGAGCATGTTTTTAAACTGCACAATCGTTTGGCTATTCAGTCAGTGGTCCTCAAGCTTCAGGGTGCTTCAGGCACCTGAAGCTCTAGCCACAGTTGTAGATTCCCAACTCCCTGGTGGGAGGGAGTTAGTTTTGGGAGGTGGGCTGGTGTGGTAAGCTGTCCCATGCAGGAGGCATGAGTTGTACATGTCACTGACATCTCAGGAGATGGGTGGTGGGGGGGATACAGTCCTAGTCATATAGCTTTATTCCCTGCTCTGGTTAGGAAATGATGGGAGAGGCAGAGGGTCCCAGATTGGGGGGAAATGGAGGGTCCCATTTGCTCACCTCTGCCCCTCCCCTACAGCTGGCTGCAGGGAGCTGGTGAACCCCTGGTGCAGTCTGGTGATTCTCACTGCCCACCTGAGGAAGAAGGGGCAGGTGCCCCCAGATGGTGAGGGGGTAGAGGGGGTAACAGGAAGGGAAGGCCCAGGGCTGCAGGCAGGGGTACCAGCCCTGCTCTGCCTCGCTCACTGACCTCCCAGCAACCATTGCCCTCCTGGCTGAGGACGGGCACCTGGTGAACCTGGAGAAGGGCCTGCAGGAGGCTTCCCAGGACCCCGCCACAGGCAGCCCCCTGCTGCAGGAACGTGGGACCTATGTCCTCGTGCAGATCATCAGTAAGTGGGGCCTAAGGCATCGCTCTGTGGTTATGTTGGAATGTAAGAAGGGGGACACCCAAGGCCTTGCCCAGCCCACTGACTTTGGCCAGGACCTAGCCCTGACCCTTCCATCCAATGCCCTGTCTTGATCCCAGCCTGAGCCAGCAAACAAGTCCAGCATGGGAGGTAGGGGTGGGGACCACCAGGCCAGTCAGGAATCATTCTTTGTTCCTTCACAGATGAGGAGGGTGGGGCTTTTACCCGCTATGAGTCCCTATTGGAGAACCTGGATGACTGGTGTCCAGAGCTGGCAGGTGAGTGTAATGATAGAACCCTGGGGTGGGAAGGGAGCACCTTCTCCCCAGCCCCGACAGGCAGGCCTTCCTGGGCCTTCCAGAGGAGCTGCGCTGGCTGTCAGGCCTACCCCTGATGGGCAACAGCCGGAAGAGGCGCCTGGGCACTTGGCGTGGCCATCAGGAGCAAGGCCCTCATTCAAGGGCCCAAAGGCTGGGCTCCCTGCTGTCCAGGACCCGCTAGCTGGGGCCAGCAGCCAGATAAGGAGACATGGATGCCTGGGGGGGCCCTCACACCCAGAAGTGAGACCCCTTCCCAGGAAACAGACACCTGTGTACTGAGAGGTGGACCCCCAATGTCAACCCCCATCACACACACACATATACCCACAAGATAGAATGCACCGTACCCAGAGACATGTCCCCACCACCTCACTGGAGTATAAGTGCCCAAGGGCAGGAACATCCTCAGTGCCCAGATGTGACACGGCCTGGCTTTCAGTATGTGCTCAGTGAAGAACTGCTGGATGAACTCCATGAAAACAGCAGCACAGTGTGAGTGATGTCGGGGTTTGCACTGGGTTTGAAGGATCTACTTCTCTGTTCCTGCAGGCCCCGTGACTGGGCACCACAGCCAAGTGGCCGAGCTGGACTCAGACCCGGAGGTTGGCCATGACCTCTATCTTGTGTGATCATGCCCGAACAGACAGCAGCCCAGCAGCATTCCTCTTACGGAATCTGGAATTACTGAGAAGTTGTATTAGCAAGTGCGGCAAGGTCACAGACAGGATGTGAGGTTGCTGGAGGCCCCTAAGATGTGGGTGCACAGAGGGGATCCAGAAACAGAGATAAGAAAGGCGGAGGAGGCAGGCATCCCTGAGAGGGGAGATGACCAGGATTCCAGCTCCCAGAGTCAGCTGCCCATGAGGTCACCTGCTAATGCCTCACCTCGGCTTTGACTGCCAGAGGCTATTGGATTACAACAGGGTTCCTCCCTTCTCACCCAGGAGGCCAGCTTAAAGTGAATCACCCCACCCCCAGCCCCACCCCACCCCACCTCATCAACCTGGGTGCTTCCATCAGATAGGCCAGTGAGAGGGCACACAGCAGGCTCGGGTCTAAAATAAACCTTTTAATTGCACATTTGTGGCTCAGGTCATCTATGGGGTGAGAAACCCTCTCCTTACTCCCAATCACAGTTACATGGGTACAATCTGATGTCAATGTCATGGTCCAGCTGTCGGTGAAGGGGTGGAGGTGAGTGCAGGGCTGGCCCACGAATCTGCTCCAGTCTGCACCAGTCTGCCCTGGTATCTTCAGGGCAGGGAGCTCAGACCTGTGGAGGTAGGGGTGGCACAGGCTGGTGATCAGCCCGCAGGTATAGGAAGAGGGGCTACCCCTCCCACCCCCTACCCAGGCCAGAGACTACTTGCTTACCATGGTTGTACTTGCATTGCTTCAAAGCCTCGCTGAAGCCCTCACACAGGGACAGGTCACTCTGAGTAGTGGAGCAGTCCAGGAACTGCTTGATCTCATAGGAGCAGGGTCCCATCTGTAGTGGCTGGGGTGCAGCACGGGTGGGGGCCTGGGGTGGTACAGGAGGCAGCAAGGCCAGTTCGAGGTTGGTACCCAGAAGTGTGTTCCAAAGTTGGGGGCCACCTACTCCTCCCCACAACTCCAACCCGGCGGGGGGAGCCCTAAGGGTCCCAAGCAGGCTGAGTGACCCAGGGCCAGCAGACTCAGCTGCTCCAACTGTGAAACAAGTTGAACCCACAGCCCTCTGAAAGCCACTCAGCTGATGCTAGTGCTGGGTGTAGTCAGAATTTCCCTGCTGCCCCATAATAGGCATATTGGGCAGGTAGAAGGGGTGGGAGGAGAATCTAGAAAAGCCCAATGCTCTGCTAGTACTCTTGGAGTATGAGCCCCACCCTCATAAGTTATAGCACCTTCCTGGCTCAGCCACACTGACCCTCATGACCCTTGATCCTGCCACTAAGCCTGTATTTGTTTCAGGACTGGTGGGATGCCCAGTGGGTGCCAGCCCAGCAGGGAGTAACCAGCTACCCTTTGCCCTTGGGCCCAGGGACTACAGTGCCTGACCCGGCAGTGGGGAGGCAGTAGGCACAGGAATTTCAACATCGCTCCCCTCTGCTAGGGTTAGGTGACCTTGGGCCAGTCTCTGAGCCCTAAGGGCCTGGGTTTCCCCATCTCTAAAGGGCTGGTAGGCATCTGTCTCTAGGAGTCTAAGGACAGTTAGTCTCATGGGAGGGTCTGGGAAAGTCTGCCTCTGAGTGACAGGAGGCCAATACAGCAGAGCGAGGAATAGGACCCCAGTTGGACAAAGTCCTGGGCCTGAGGTAGCTCTGGCTATGCCTGGACACAACTCGCTGGACATTCTAGCTGGACTCCCTGCTCTGGCCTTCAGAGAAGTCAGCCTCAGTTTCTCCGGAGCCCGTTGCTCACCTGCTGAACAGCAGGTTGGGCGGGCTCTGAGCTGCCCCCGCTGAAGGCTCCGGTTAGGGCGCTGCCCACGACGTGTCCCACAGCTGAGCCCACGGCTACCCCAGCGGCGGTGGATGCCATCTGCGCCATCAGGCCTGGTTGGCCCGACGGAGCCGGGGCCGGGGCGGCGGCCGAGGGCGGGGGGTGCGCGGGCGGGTGGGCAGAAGGCGCAGCGGTGCGGCTGTGGGATAGAGGGGACGC